GCGACCCCCTGGGGGAGAGCTTTCTCTGTTGCAGCTCCGGCCCTATGGAACGAGCTCCCCGTGGAGATCCGGACCCTTACAATCCTCCAGGCCTTCCGTATAGCCACTAAGTCCTGGCTGCTCTGGCAGGCCAGGGGCTGTTGAAGTATCCCGCTCCACAGTAACTATGAATGTTGTTGTATTTTTAAATTGTTGTCTGTCTTATTTATTCCCTTTACCCTTTTTATTGTAAGCCACCCGGAGTCCTCCGGGAATGGGCGGGATATAAGATTAATAAACTATAACTATAACTATACTTCTATGAGGTCCTGATATTCCATCGGAATCAGTTCGGCCTCTGGGGTTTTGTCGGATGTGGTTGCCAGTTGTTTTTGTGGGCTCTTTTGGAGGGGGGGTCCTGTGTGGGTAGTGTTTCTGCTAGCTGGTGTGGGAGGGGTTGGGGGCCCCTTGATATCCTAAGTCTATGGGTACCCCCTTGCCACCAGATTGTCGGTCTCCATTTGTCTAGCCAGGAAAGTCTCAGTATGACTGCGTCTGTCATTTTGATGGCTATTATGAATCAAATTACTTCCCAGTAATCCGCTAGCTCTAGCCTCACTGGTTTGGTCAGGTGGATGGCATAGGCTCCTCCCATTAAGGACCCGTCAACCTGTTCGAACCGGATTTGGTGGGCCAGTCTATTTGCTCTGATCCCCAGTTTCAGGACTGTGGTTAGGTTGATCAAGCACCTTGTGCAGCCTGAGTCCATTAGGGCTTGAAAATCCCCCCGGTTTCTTGTTTTTGGGGCTGTGAGGCATATTGGAAAAAGGAAAGGGTGAATTGGTTCACTCACCATTGGGTCATTTTCTTCCTCGTCCTCGCTGTCATATGATTCGGGTGACTGATAGCCTGGGGTTCCACCACTTTCACCTGAGGAGGAAAGGGCCTTTGCAGCCAGGAAAGCTTTCTTGGACATGTTGGTGGTCTGTTTGGGGCCTTGTTCTGGTCATGCCCTGGGCGGTAGGTCTGGCCTTGGTTTTGGGGCTGGGGTTGGGCATGCAACTGCCATGTGGCTCATCCCCCCGCATCTGTAGCATTTCAGCAGACTTCGAGGAAGGGCTGGTCTCAGGGCCTGCTGTGGTGCTGTGGTTCCCCTTCGGCTAGGTGGTTTCAGGTCAGGTTGATTTCTCTCTTTTTTGTCCCGTTGCCTTCTTATGTCGTTGGTGCACAGCCCACTGTCGACTTTTGTTGCTATTTGGGCAATTTGCTTGTCCAGGCTTGTTCTGAAAAAATGCACCAGCAACTGCTCTGGTAAAGGGGGTAGCCTTCCTATGACCCTCCTAAATTCACAGATGTGGTCTTTAATGGGGCAACCCCTCTGCTTTAGGTTGCTGAATTCCTCTTCTGCATGTGGGTCCTCCTCCACCTCCTCAAATCTGTCCTCTAGCAGTTGCAGGAAGTCATCTATGTCTTGCAGTTGGGGGGGCTCTCCTCTTGTGAAGGGCTGCTAATCATTCCCTTGCTTCTCCCTCTAGCCCCTCTGCAATGGTATTCACCATGGCCCTGGGAGATGGGTAGAGGTGCCTATAATGTTCTTGGTGGATATCAGCTGAATCAAGGAATAGAGCTAGCTGGTCTGAGTTCCCATCAAACTTTCCCCTGAATTGGGGTGGGTCATTCAGCCCTACTCCTCCAACATCCTGTTGGCATCTTTATGCTTACACCTGATATGGCTGGCCATCTTCCTCACCTCTAGTTCAGAGGGAGGGAGGGGTTTCCCTGCTCTGGGCAGCCTGCCTGCTGCATGGGAGATGCACTGGTTGCAATTTCGGGCTCTTTCTCCTTCTATTGTGTGGAGGAGGGTGTCTGTGCTCCAGTCTGCATCTCCTCCCCTCAACAGGATCAGATAACCCTCCCCTCTCTTTTGGGCAGCAAGGGTGGTTTGGTCAAAATCCTCCCTCTGTTGCTCTATTGCACTCTCCAGGGATTCCATCTGGGGCTTTGGGAGCCTGGCTTGTGCCCAGTCCCACCTCCAGTCCACCCTTGCCAGCTCGCTTGAGACCCTTCCCTGTATCTGGGGGCTAGGGTAAGGGAACTCTGCTTCAGCTGCCTTGGGGACTAGTTTCCACCAGTATTCATACTTTCTTGCTTCTGCTGCTGGGAAAGGCATCGTAGCTTTGATGTCTGGAGCTTTGATGTCTGGAGCTAGCTGCATACCTTCAGCTGCAATCAGCCTCTCTCTTCAGCCACGGTTGCCTGATTTTCCCTCCAAGCACCCCAAATATTGGGGGGCTGCTTTGAGAGCCCGGGATTCAAGAAACCTGGAAATCTTGATAGATTTTAAAAGTAAGTTTTGCTCTCTGTGAAGTTCTCAAAGGATGACCTAATTAATTTACAAGCCTCGAGACAAAGTTCAAAAGAAATCCATTCATTTATTAGGATCAACATTTTGGCAATGTTCTTCTGTGGAGCCGAAACTGATTTCCACTTAATTGTGTTTGAACTCCCCCCTATATCCTCTCCCTTCTGTGTGTGTCATAAATCACGTCCACCAACAAGGTGCTAGGCAGGCTATGAACATGCGTATTTCACACACCAGCTGTAGGAATATGAGACCTGACTCTTGCCAAAGGTATGCATGGAATTCTACTCCCTTTCCTCCCCCCTTTTCCTATGTCGACTTGATAGCAGTCATGGAAACGCTTTACAAGTTGACATCTTTCCCCACAGAATCCTCCCCTATCCTATCCCCTTCCCTCCCTCAGGCTTGCCACACAGAAACGTCTCCTATCCTACCCCCTACCCCGGCTAACCCCACGGAATCCTATCCTATCTCCCTTCTCTCCCTCAGGTTTGCCCTACAGAATCCTCCCCTATCCCATCCCCCTTTTCTCCATCAGGCTTGCCAAACAGAAACATCTCCTATCCTATCGTCTTCTCTCCCTCAGGCTTGCCTCACAGAATCCTCTCCTATCCTATATCTTTCTCTCCCTAAGGCTTGCCCCACAGAAACCTCTGCTATCCTGTCCCCTCCCTCTGGCTAGCTCCAAAGAATCCTCCCCTATCCTTTCCCCTTCTCTCCCTCAGGCTTACCACACAGAGGCCTATCCTATCCCCTTCTCTCTCTCAGACTTTCCATAAAGAATCTTCCTTTTCTCTCCCTCAGCTTTGCCCCCCAGAAACCTTGTTTATCCTATCCTTCTCTTCCATAGCCTTGCCCTACAGAAACCGCTCCTGTCCTATCCTAACCCCTTCCCTCCCTCAGGCTTGCACCACAGAATCATCCCCTATCCTATCTCCTCCTTTACCTCAGCCTTGCCCCAGAGAAATGTCTCCTATCCCTTTCTCTCCCTCAGCCATGCCCCAGAGAAACCTCTCCCTTCTCTCCCCCAGCTTTGCCCCACAGAATCCTCCACTAAGACCTTCTCCCCCTCAGGATTGCCCCACGGAAACCTTGTTTATCCTATCCCCCTTCTCTTCCACAGCCTTGTCCCACAGAAACCTATCCTATCCTATCCTAACCCCTTCGCTCCCTCAGGCTTGCACCACAGAATCCTCCACTAACCCCTTCTCTCCCGCAGGCTTGCACCACAGAGTCCACCCCTATCCTATAACCTCCTCTCCCTCAGCTTGTCACACAGAAACGTCTCCTATCCTATACCCCCCCTCTCAAGCTTGCCCCACAGAATCCTCCCCCATCCTATCCCCTTCTCTCCCCCAGGCTTGCTCCACAGAAGCCCCTCCTATCCTATCCCCTTCTCTCCCTCAGCTTTGCCTGACAGGAGCCTCTCCTATCTCCTTCTCTCATTCAGACTTGCCTCACAGAATTGACTCCTCTCCTATCCCCCTTTTGTCCCTCAGGCTTGCCCCATAGAATTATCCACTATCATATCCCCTTCTCTCCCTCAGGCATGCTGCACAGAAACCTCTCCTGTCCTATCCCCTTCTCTCCCTCAGGCTTCTCTCCAAATTCCCAGCCAGCAGGCCAGATGAATCATGTGCTGGCCACAACCACATCCAATTGGCAGTTGGAACAGAGTTATTTTCAGGTTTGGAGAGGAAGTAGAACATCTAACTTCTTAGCATCAGAGCATGTTAATAATAATATAAAAATACTAATGCTTTGATGGTCATTTTGAAAATCCTTTCTAAGTGAGCACCTAGAAGCCAAGAGGAACATACGTGCCACATTTCAAGTTTGTAGGCCGTTTGGTTCTGGAAATTTCATGATGCAGTGTAAGTGGTTTTTGCTTTTATATATATAGATTACTAGCAGGGGTGGGTTTTAACCGGTACCAACAGATACGGCTATACCGGATGGTGAAATTTAGTGTTCCTTCCTGTACCTGCTGGTCAGGAGGCCCCGTACTGGAACGCTCCCTCCCCTCATTTGCTCTTTCAATTGCCCCACCCATCCACACCACACTGCCGAAAAGTTCTCAGAAGAAGAACCAGAAGAAGAAAGAACTGGTAAGTGGCGGGGGGGAGGATGTTGGGGAAGAGGGAATAAGCAGAGGGGCTGCTAGAAGAGTGTGTGTGTGTACAGAGGCTGTGGGTTTTAAAAAACATCTGCATGAATCCAGGAAGAGGGAAGAGGCAGAGGGGCTGGAAGATACTATAGGAACACACACTTCCAGCCCCTCTACCTCTTCCCTCTTCCTGGATTCACNGCCGCCCGGAGTCCTTCGGGATTGGGCAGCATATAAATTCATTAAATTTGAATTTGAATTTGAGTTACTTTGGCATAGCATCACTCCTACTGCCATGTCACTGGCATCTGCCTGGGTCACGAAGGGTTGCTCCAGGTCAGGATGCTTCAGCACCGGCTTTCTTGGAACCATTTCTTTTAGTGTTTTGAATGCCTCTTGACAGGTTAGGTTCCACTCTAGGGGTTGTCCTGGATGAGGTTTTGTTCCTGGGCTCCCTGTATTCAGGAGGTCTGTCAGGGGTTTGGCAATCTTTGCAAAGGAGGGGATGAATTGTCTGTAGAAGTTCGCAAATCCTATGAAGCTTTGTAGCTGTCTGCGAGTGCGAGGGGGGTGCCAGCCTAGGACGGCTTGTACTTTGGCTGGGTCCATCTCTATTCCCTCATTTGACAGTCGGTAATCCAGGTAGTCTACCCGTGCACAATGGAATTCGCATTTTGATACCTTGATGTACAGGTTCGCTGCCAGAAGTTTTTCCAGCACTTGGCGGACCAGGGGTATGTGGTCGTCCATGGTCTCAGTGTAGATAAGGGTGTCATCTAGGTAGACGAGGACGCCCTTGTAGAGGTGCTCATGTAGCACCTCATTTATTAACTGCATGAATACTGCTGCCCCCCCCCTGCAGTCCAAAAGGCATCACTTTGAATTGAAAGCTCCCTAGGGGGCAGTTGAATGCTGTTTTCCACTCATCTCCTTCTCTGATACATACTCGGTAGTATGCTTCTCTCAGGTCTAGTTTGGTGAAGACTTTTCCCTTGGCCAGGTGAGATAGCATGTCCTTCATGAGGGGGAGTTGGTATAGGTTGTGTATTCACACCCCATTTATCCCTCAAAAGTCTACACACAATCGCATGGTTCCATCTTTTTTTTTCTTTGAAGAGGACTGGTACTGCGACCAGTGGCTTGGCTGGCTCAATGAACCCCCCTTGCTAGGGTTTTGTCTATGTATTTGCACATCTCTTGCATTTCCTGGGGCATCATGGCATACAGTTTGGGCTTGGGTAGTTTTGCCCCGGGGATGCTTTTGATGGCACAGTATGCCTCATGGTGAGGAGGCTGAACATTGCACTCAGCCTCACTGAATACTTTGTTGAGAAAGTGGTGGCCTCTCAACTCTGACGGTCCTTGGATGAAACCGATTATCTGGATGCCTTTCAGTCCAGTTTCAGGCCTGGTTACAGCATGGAAACTGTTTTGGTCGCACTGAACGATGATCTCTGGTGAGCCAGGGATAGGGGTCACTCCTCTATCCTNTAATAAATTTCCTTTTTTATATCTTCTTTTTGTAGGTCATTCTTTGGGGCAAAGAATTCAGTGACATCGATTTGGCCACTCCCACCCAGTCACATGACTGTCAAGCTATTCCCACCTGAGCACATCATCACCAAGCCACTCCTGCAAAACAGGTCACACCTACAGAATAGGTTCTAAAATTTTTTGAAACCCACCACTGATTACTAGGGCAATTGGGACCAAAATTCCATTGCTAAGCAATGTGATCATAAAGTGTGACATTACATTACTGGCTCACTTAGCAACATTAATTCTCAGTTGCTGTCATTAAACAGCAATCTTATTAAGCAAGGCTAATGATATCCCTGCCAGTTTGCCCATTGTCTTTGTTTGTGGAAACATCAGAAATCACAGTTATGTGTCTGCAGAGATGCTATGACAGCCAGAACTTTTTAGGACCTGTCATAACAACTCCCCCCCCCCTTATTTGGTATCATAATTTTGAACAATCACCAAACCAATGGTCATAATGCAAGGACTACCTGTATTCAATACAGAAATACTATATGTCTACTAGCATACATAGCCAAAGACAGAATGGAGAAAATCACCCTTTCACAAACGTATCTGATGTGCCTCCTGATTTCACTGCCATTAAATTCTTGGCTTCCTTGATGACAATTTCCAATATGCCTCCTGGTGGTTCCTGTGAGGTTGATTTCTTTTCTTTCTTTGAACTCTTCTTTTCTTTAAAAGAAGGAAAACAAGCATGGAGGAATAGCTGAATATATGAAGCTTCCATATTTTGCACTGTATGTTGTCCTAAGGTTAAAAATCAATACATATCAAACCATGCCTCTTAAGCCACAAATATGTCCTATATTAGAAACAACATTTTATACTATGCAACTGTATGTACATTATTTGTCCCTCAATGATTTCATATAATTTTTAAAAAGGCAACTTTTCAGAAACACATATGCTCATTAAAAATATTTTTACTTAACATACCCCAAACCAATACAATGAAATTTAAGTGAAGATAAATGATTTGAAGAAAAAAATAGCTTCTGTAATTTCTAATATGGACAGAAACCCTGAAAAGGAGTTGTTTGAAAACTCTGCAAGGACCACATAAAAGCCTGGATCTTGAGGCCTTGAGGGTTATATGACATAACATGAGCGCTATTTCATTCTTGCATGAGTATCTAGAGTGGATTTATGTTCCAAACCAGATGCAACTTTAATATATATTTATGGCCCAAGACCAATCACAATGAAAGACCAGTATATTATCCAATAAAAGGAAAAATTTAAATTGCAAATACTGTAAATCATAAAACAATTAGCAGCTTATAGTTAATAGCATGAAGTAGGAATAACATGAAGCCATTTCTAACAGCTATGACTATTGAGGAAATTTTGCAACCTTCTTAAAGTTTTTTTAAGAGTGGTTACCTAAGAGAAGGATAATGACCTCCTGGTCACAATGGCAATTAGAGTTATTAATAGTTGGACCTATTAAACTTGAGTTACATTTTTTGGACAGGAAAGTGATGCTTTTCTGTTTCTACAACATTCTGTTTATTATATTTTAACTATGGATGGATGTCATAAAAATAATAAAAAGCAAAAAAGGTACACAATAAATCCTATCTCAAAGAAGGTTTATTTAAAAATGGTCAACACATCCCCAAATCTCTAACTTATCCCAACATCATTTTTTCTCCTTCCATTCAACCATGTCTGAAAAGTAGATTGCCTATGAATCTCAAAAACCTTCTCCCTGTTCCTCAAGCCACTGCTGAATTTGGGTGGGCACAGCTTATCCACTTATCAGTTGTTCACATGAATCAGTCAATCACACCAAAACCTGGTCACCCTAAGATATGCAGACACATGGGAATTTTGAGTAGAAATAATTGACAGGCTTTTGCAGCATTTTGCATACAGTGACAATCTCAAGTCTTGTTACCCAACAAGATGACGTTATAAGAAAATGCTGTTTAATAGGCAACTAATGAATTTACAGCGAATCCTGCCCTTGCTTCCAAAAATGTATTGATGGAGTAATATAGAAAGATGAAATGATTTGTAGTTTCAAATTCTTTTAAAAAGTAGTAAACCAACTTGAACAGCAACAAATGCAATATTTTGCAGCATTGGATTTTTGTTCCTAATGCCTGCAGAAGATCAGGAATTAAAACAATTAAAGAAAACATTGCTGGATGCGTCAACAGGATTTTTTAAAACCTTGAATCGCTCCTAGAGGAAGTGTTAGGTTTCTTTCGGGTGGGGTGTACCGTAAAGCAACAATTATTTCTCCTTTATATTGCAGCCCAATATCAGTGGCAATCTCCATCTAAAACAAGAAAGTAAAATAGAAGAAAGTCTTGTTTAATAAATATTCACCTTCACTTTTAGAACATGTTGCACATTATTTTAAGGTATACTAATTACAAGCAGAACAATCTAAAAGACAAGTATACAGATGAAGATGAGCTTCAAATGACCAAACCTCTACCTCCTACACTCTATGAGCTTCCAGCAAAAAAGTAGGTAGTTTTTTTTATTTCTTTAAAATTGTCATAAAATTGAGTTCAACCCACTCAAAGTTTTTCAACAGTTCTTTTATTCTTGTGTTATTCAAACAAAAAGCAAGGCAAGTATGCAATTAAGCTTGTGTGTGTGTGTGTGTGTGTGTGTGTGTGTGTGTGTGTGTGTGTGTGTATCAGTGGTGGGTTTCTGCTGGTTCGCATCGGCTCGGGAGAACCGGTTGGTGAAATTTACCAATCTGGTGAGAGGAGATTCGACTGGTGGATCTGGAAGTAACTTCCGGAACGCCTGCCTCGGCCCTGTCACTTGCTCGCTCACCCCTGCCCATCCGGAAGCCGCTCCATCGCTCACTCCCCTGCCCATCTGCACTATCCTAGCCCCACCCACCGCTCACTGATTGGCTGGCTCACCAATCGCCCCGCTCTAAGAACCCTATCTAAACCCATTACCTTTTTTCTTGCTTGGCTTTCTATTGCTGCCTGCTGACTCCGAGGAGGTACGTAAGCTGCAACTAAGTGCGGAGCAGGGGGGGGGCGGAGGCATCTGGTGACCTTTTGCAGCCTTGCAAGGATCTCGGGCTCACTTATAGCACAGGGCCTCATGGCTGCCAGAAAGCACGGGTGTGGGGGTGGGGATGGTGGCGGCGGCTTACGCGGCGTGGCCGCCATCTTTGAAAAGTACGGGGACCTCGCAAGGCCTTTGCAAGGTCCCTGGGCTTGTCTAAAATGCCTGGCCACCAGAAAGCATGGGCGCAGGGGTGGGGACAGCGGTGGGAGCTTACACGGCATGGCCGGTCTCCTAGGACCTCCTAGGCACCAGCCGCACCACGCAAACTACCGTTCGTCTCCCTGTGCTCAGAAAAGCATCTCCGGGAAGGTTCTTTGGTGGCTGCAGACATCCTAAAACCTGCCTGCTAGCAAAGGACTTACCTGGGCTTCCTTTTCTGAGCACGCAGAGACAGGCAGTATTTTGTGCTGTCTGTCTCCCCATGCTCAGAAAAGCAACTCCGGGAAGGTGGTTTGGTATTGGCAGGCCTCCAAAAACCTGCCTGCTAGCAAAGGACTTACCTGGGCTTCCTTTTCTGACTATGGGGAGACGGGAGGTATTTTGCGCCATTTGTCTCCCCATGCTCAGAAAAGCAACTCTGGGAAGGTGCTTTGGTGGCGGCAGGCATCCTAAAACCTGCCTGCTAGCAAAGGACTTACCCAGGCTTCCTTTTCTGAGCACGGGGAGACAGGCGGTATTTTGTAATGAGGTTGTATAGAGGGGTCCTGGGTGCTCTCTGAGCTTGGTGCAGACGTTTCATTACCAAACTAGGTAACATCATCAGTGCTAGAAGGGAGTGGGGTTGGGGGGAGTGGAGGAGAAAGATAGGAAAAATAGGAGAGAGGAAGAAAGAGGGGGTGGAGGATAGTGGGATCCTTGCTGCTTTCTGAGCTTGATGGTTTTCTTACAGACCTTTCATTACCAAACTAGGTAACATCATCAGTCTACTGGAGTGGGGTTGGATGGGGGAGGAGGAGAAAGATAGAAGGACAACAAGGAGAAAGAGAAGGAGAAAGAGGAGGTGGAGGATAGTGGGATCCTTCCTTGCTGCTTTCTGAGCTTGGTGGTTTTCTTACAGACATTTCATTACCAAACTAGGTAACATCATCAGTGCGAGAAGGGGATGGGGTTGTGGGGAAAGGAGGAGGAGGAGAAGTAGAAGGACAAAAGGATAAGGGGGAGAGAAGACTGTGGGGTCCTTTGGTGTTCTCTGAACTTGGTGGTTTTCTTGCAGGCATCTCATTACCCAACCAGGTGTCATCATTAGTGCTAGAAAAAATGGGGTATACAGAGAGGAGGGGGAGGGTGACGACTGTGTGGTCCTTGGTGCTCTCTTAGCTTGCTTGTTTTCTTCCAGATGTTTCATTACCCAATGATGATTCATTATTATCATCATCATCAGTGCTAGAAAGAGTGGGATATATTGAGAGGAAGAGGAGTGGGGGGGGGAGAGACGGTAGCGGGGTCCTTGCTGTTCCCTGAGCTTGGTGGTTTTCTTGCAGACATTTCATGACCCAGCTAGGTATCTCACACCAATGACAATAAAATATCTGCAAGCAAACCTCGAGACCACAGGGCATTTATTTCTTCATTTATTAAATTTATATGCCTCCTGCCTCGTGGTCATCACAAATTCCTCATCAGGACCTTCCACAATGACTGGCCTCAGAATTACATCTCCAGAATTTCAAATTTTATTTATTGTGTATAGAATATTTTTAATGGTTTTATTTTAATTTATTATGTATAGAATATTTTAATGGTTTTATTTTAATTTATTGTTTGTAGAATATTTTAATGGTTTTATTTTAATTTATTATGTATAGAATATTTTAATGATTTTATTTTAATTTAATTTGTGTAGAATATCTTTTTTTAAAATCATTTTTAGAAAAATTTTATTTATTGTTTATAGAATATGTTTATTACAAGAAATGTTATTC